CACTGGATATTTGTTTCTGTGTCTCTGCTGCTAAGTTCCCGGTTTGGAACAAGTACCCCTCCCTCTGCCTTTCAGCTTACGGGAAACATGACACAGTAACCAATTTTCAGTTGATATCATGTAAAAGCAAAGCAATTCCATCGCTTGGGCTCGAAATCTAAGACTGCCAACAGCTCTACAGATGCCGTAACAAAAAAACAAACCATCTAACCCAAACCCCATCTGTCCTACTTTACTTTGGATAGTGATCAAAACCGCTTCTGTGCTAGTTACAGCTGGGTGAGGGAAAACCTAATAGATAATAAATATGAATGGTAGACTCATTTTGCCCAAATACTGTAGCTTCATCTCAGCGGTGTAGTGTGATTCAGTACCCAATTCCGCACATTGCTCAATTACCTCTGGGAAAATATTTGACAAGAAAAAGCCAGTCACGCAAGTAAGTTGCAGATTTACAAACTAACTGTAAGTAAATGTCTTCACATTCATTGCTGCTATACAGAAGGGGGGTCTGTTCTGTTATTTGTGCATGTCTGGCTGGGGATTCACTGTGGCCGAAGGATTACAACAGAGGAGAGGCAGGGGTCAGTTTTGGTTCTCTCACTGAATCCCTGTGCTACCGAAGGCCAGCTGCTTTGCTACGTCTCAGTGATGATGCCTAGGTCCCCTCAACACGCTAGTTCGTTTTTTTCATGCAATGCCAGGATGTGAAATATTAAGGTCTGTGGTACCCAGAGATTCCTACCCCATCCACTAGGTATTGTACAAGCATATTGGAAGAAGGTGTCTGTGTCCCTGACCCAAACAACGTTCACAATAAGCCGGTAAAAAAGGAGGGGGGTTCTCCACAAACACCATTTTTATGCGTCTTTGCCACTTTTTTCCTTTTGATTGTGAATATTTAAAGTCGTATTTATCTCCATCTGACCCCCAAGCCATTATTAAAAGTCAGCCAGTTTCTCGGAGTAAAGGACTGCTGACAAACAGTCCCATAAAGCATCCCTATCAGAGCCTGTCTCCCCTAGCTCTGTTACCAAGTCAAGGACCAATTCTCAATTAACCACAGCCTGACCCTTGCTCACTTTCTTTCCCTCCCCTCTGCCCTTCCTGCAAAAGTTCAGCGCTTCCTGGAAAAGTCTCACTGCCTGTTTGATATTGTACTTCGCTTTAGTTGCTGAAGGAAGGATTTACAGGTGCCTGGCCCCGTCTGCAAGACCATGACCGAAAGCTGACCCCATGTTACAATATGTGAACTCCTGCCCTGCTGATAAGGCTGGCAGATATGAGTTGGATTTTTCAAATAATCCTTTGGGAATTTATAAGCAGCACAGCCATAAAACCGAGGTGACTGGAAGGTCGATTTCACTAGAAATAATAAATATTGCAATGTTTATTCAAACTAGGCCTTTGTAACTGCAGGCCAAGCACTTAGATAACACTATTGTAAATGACAAATATTAGGAGGTTTGGGGAGCTATTATATTATGAGCCTTCCGTCTGACTCTGATGTGACCATTTCCTTTGGTGCTCGGCCAATCCTTGATATTGTTCAACACTAGCTGGGCCTAGAAAGCCAGTTCAGGATTCAACCTCAGGTCAGGAAAAGGGTAATTTTCCTTGATGCCTGCTTGCCTTACTTCCCTGCTCTTGCTTTACATGCATTTCTGCTTGAAAATTCTGCCACGCAGTTTCTCTTTTTCTCACTTCTTCCAGGCCTTTTGGCCGAGACCCTGTATTGTAGGAGTTTAGTCTAACAGGCTCAGCAGAGGACTAAGAGAAGACCGCCTGAGTGCTATCCTCTGGCGATTCTAACGGGCCCAAAGCTACTTTGGCGGCCCCAGAGCCTCAGGTTTTTTAAAACTGCTGGACCCTGAGATAACTGTCGCATTTGCCTCACCCCTTGTCGGTGGGCCTGTCTATCCCAGCACTGTCACCGGCTCCTTCTGCGACTTCATTGCCTCAGGTTTTTTTCATCTGTCAAATGGAAACAACAGCTCCCTGCCAACCCCACAGGGTTAGCGTTTACAAAGCATTTTGAAGATGGAAAGTGCTATCGTAGTGCTAAGCATTAATATGTGACCTAACAATTTCAGTACCTCAGAGTGCTTTACAAACACTGGGTCTCTATACCGATGTGACTGGTAAGAATAGGAATAAGAACAGCAACAACAACTACAACCCCCACCTCTCACACATGTATCTGTGGGGGGGACTGTATTCTAACCCCAGAAGAGAGGGGGACGTCATAAGACATGACTTTTCCCATCTCAAGTTCTGTGTGAGCACCTCAAAGAGGCTTATGGGGTACTCACCTCTGGAGCATATGGGCTGGTTAGCGGTTGGCTTTCAGCTCCAGCAGAAAGCAATCAAACAGCAGCATGGGACACGAGCCTAGAACCTGTTTCTAGAAGTAGCATTTCTCTAACATACAATAGCCATGTTCTATATCTGACAAAGGATGAACACTATGCACCAAGTATGACGGAACCCAGAATATAACGTCAGTCTCGAAGATAAAGTACTTACAAACTATAAAACTCTGGACTGCCACTGATGCCAAAAATCTAATGGCCCATTTTTGCCCCCTGCCTAATAGCATTACATATGCCCTTCTATTAAACAACTATATGCAAAGCTACAAAGACAGTCTTTGATTTTGCTTTAATAAATATACATATACACCTATGTATAACTGAAGTTTTTCTAAATCCAATGAGACTTTGAAATTTACCAAGGGATCCAGATCATGGTAATTTTCCTCTTAGCATGCTTTGGGGAGCACGTTTCCAACATCTAGCATTTTATCTTTGTCCAAAACAGAGTACACCAAAAAGAACACATTCTGGGTCAGTTAACATTTCAATGCCAATAAACTATCATAGCATTGTCACTGAAGCTATATAATTAGTGACAGATGAAGACATGAATGCGTTAGATGCACATAATTATGATTCCTTTCTTTTAGCAAATTCATTCACGGGTATTGCTGAGGGGGGATGGGCTTTAGATCAACCATAAAAGAAACAATTCTCTTAGGCCTGGCTACAGAACAACAAAGGAGGAAAAGCTGCTGGATTACATGCAGAAGCCATGCACTCTTAGGCCACTTCTACACAGCAGGGCTACAGCCAAAATAAGCTATGCAACTTGAGCTACATCAAATGCATAGCTTAAGTCGAAATACTTTATTTCGGCTTTTGGCGCTGTCTACACAGCAGGAAGTCTGAGTTAGAGCACTCTTCTTCCGACTTCCCTTACTCTTCATAAAGTGAGGGTCACAGGAATCAAAGAAAAGTCTTCCAGCTCGACATTATGTCAAAATAACTGCTTGCTGTAAACGTAAGTTATTCTGACATAAGGCTATGTCTACACAGCAGAGTTAGGGTATGTCTACACTACCCTCCTAGTTCGAACTAGGAGGGTAATGTAGGCATACCGCACTTGCAAAGGAAGCCTAGTTCGAACTACCTAGTTCGTGCCCCGTGTAACCGCGCTGCACGGGGTTCGAACCAGCGGGGTTTTAAAAATGACGGCTCCCCGCTTATGCAAATGAAGCCCGGGAAATTCAAATCCTGGGCTTCATTTGCAAGTGCGGTATGCCTACATTCCCCTCCTAGTTCGAACTAGGAGGGTAGTGTAGACATCTTGGGTTTAGAGGTTTCTCTAGCAGCTAAGAAAGTTGAAGCCCTTAGGGTCTATGGATTTCCAATTTGGAAGGCTCAGATGATTTAGTGCACAAGTCTGAAAATTATGAGTGTCTGGCACAAGGGAGTAAAGATGGAAGTGTGACCCATGAAGGTCTTCTTCTCCACTCATGTTGAAGGGAGTAACTTTATCAATACGCAGGAAGGCCTGGAAAACCAAATTTTGTCTAAATCTACAGAAAGGAGACATGAATTTTACTGGATATTAAGTTGACTCCTTTTGAACAGAGAAAATATTTAAAATTCTAGATCCATCGTCTCAAGTGTGTACAGAAAATTAACTAAAATTGCTGATGATCTGCCTATCTTGGGGTTTTATACTGCCACACATCACATCAGTATCTCAGTGCCTTCTGGACTTCAGAGAGTCTCTGGCTCTTCTCCCTTTTCAGAATAAAAACTCTTATTTTGTCAGCTCATTGATTTGTGTGTTTGTTGGTTACAAGTTTTTATCTGGGCGGGGGGGTTAGGGACATGTTTGGGTAAATAAGAATGCTAAGCAGTAGGGTTTGTTCGGTTGTTTTCTTTTAAACTGTTATAGGAAGGTTTCTACCACTGTATCTGATGAGCAGGTCACACTTTTTTCCCCCTCTTAATATACAACAGTGATCAAGAATAGACTAAAATGCAGCAGAAAATGCACTTACACAGCCACTAAAAAAATGTTGATTTTTTCAGGACAGATAAAATGGCAAAAGTCTGACTTCTAAAAAGCTGAAGCCCAGACTGTAAGATTGTCAATTTAGTTGCATGCTATAGGATTTTAATGATGAGAAATTCTCCAGTCTTCAAAAGACAAAGATGCAATAAACCACCACCACCACCTAAAATTGCGGTCTGTCTTGATCATTCAATAAGTTACTTTGCACTGATATTTCTATTAGTTTTGATTAAAGAAGATTTATTTGAGGGAAATATATTTAAACTAGAAAAACATAGCTAGCTCCTTATAAACTCCAAAGCCGTCATGGCTGAAGAAAATGTTGGTTCATGTGTCTTTGCAGTCTGCTAATATAAAATAGTTGTTTGGTTTTTACTCAAAGTCCTTTCTCTACTGTGGCCTCCCGATGTTGCCCTTTGTCATGTGCTAATGAGGTTCTAATTTTACTAGCTACTGCATTTTCTCTCAAGGTGAATATAAGCGGGCACTAATACTCCTTACGCAACAGCACCTTTCCAAGAGCGTCTACATGCATGTAAGGCACTGCACCTCATCTTGCCATTCAAAAATCAAGCCCAACTTTAGTGCCATTTGTACAAACTATGCGGTAAAAGCACCACTGCAGACCCACTTACCAGTACAGAATAGATGTGCAAGCATCGGTACACCGGCGAGAAATCCACCAAATCCTGAGCACCAGGTACCTACAAAGACATAGAATGGAAAAGAAGAGGCTTAACATACAATGTACACCTTGGCTTCAAATAAATTACAGTGTGTGGGAACAGACAGTCACTATAGACCGGATACTGAGGGTTTCGGTTACTGAATGAATTTCAGGCGTTTGTAAGTACAGTACAATGCTTGGGTTTTTAAAGAAGCTATGATCTAACAAACTTATGTTACACCCACTCTGAGCATCTACCTCTCTGAAAAACACAGTCAGCATACCCTTCTTTGGTCACCTCAGCAGGGAGGCCAAAGATGTGACCATCCATGGTTGATAAATAAGCTGGTGCCCCCAGATAAGGGTTGAGGTGTGTTGACAACTGTCCCCGTCTTGTCCTGTGCCATAAGTGGGCAGCGGGAAGGTACTTTCTCCAGGATGTATAATTTGGCATTGACACTAAATTCATGTAGCCATTTTTTTTTAATTGCTTACTGAACTGGCCACTGACCACACCGCAGTGCTTGCAGGCACAGCTGGTGACCCACAGATGAAATATTTTCATAATGAAATGGAATAGGATGCGAGGAAGCAGGTGTGAAACTGATCGACAAGAGAAACTCTTACAAAAGCAGTCCAAAATTTTTTTAATCTCTATTTCCCTTAAAATATTAAAGCCCAGACCTAAACAACATACTAACTACCACTCTCGAACAACTTCAGACCCCACTCTTGACATTAGGTGAAGATTTAAACTGTTTATATACAGCATTTTTCAGAAAAGCATGCCCAAGCAAGGGATGTAATAGTGTAGTCGATTAACTGATACGCAAAAGCTTAGAGGTTAATGCTATAGACTACACGTATTTCCTTCCCTCCCCAGCCAGTAAATTTTTTTAGCAGGCTGGCCAGCAGCCTGGCTCAGTCCTGGTTCGCACCGGGTCCAGGACCTACCCTCGTTGTGGCTCTACATTTGAAGTGTATTAGGAGTCACATGGGTAGGCAGCCAAGCTCAGTTTTGGCTCACACCAGGTCTGGGAACTCAGACATCCCCTAGACAGGGGCTGCTGCCACCCCATGCTGCTGCCTCTATCAGAGGACCCACCCCCGGGGACTACAGAATAGTCGACTAACCAATAAGAATTCACGAGGCTACTCGACTATTCAATTAATCGATATTTAACATCCCGACCACAAACACCACAGAATAGCTGTTTTTAAAAACACATGCATTTAGGCGGCAGTGTTCAAAACCTTTACCCTCTCGTGCAGGGTGTTAACCTGAGATGTACTTAATCGGAGGAAAAGAACAGACTGTTCCCTTCACATACACCTCCAACCCTAAAAGCGAATGAAGTCACACGCCCAGCCTTTTGAACTCTTTTCAGACTCTGTCCTCTGTATGCTTTTGCACGTACAAAGTATTTGAAACAAACCATTATGGCAAATTTAAAACACTGCCCAGCAATCTACATTGTTCTCTGCTGCACTGGAACAATACATTTATTGCTCTCCTAGCAGTTGTTAGCTTCCCCGGGTAGTTTCTTGCGTAACTTTCTCCACCACCCGTCACAAAGACGTTGGCCATTACAGTGTGTACACAAACCCTACTGGAATAATAGCCAGTCGGCAAGAAACACCCCAGAAACTGAGGTCTGTCCTACCTCATGTTGCTTACAGACTTCTGCTGCAATACAAAAAGCAAAGCACAGCACGTATACTTTGTGATGGAATGCCACATACTGGCAGGAAAAGGAAACGAACGATCCCTGAAAATCACCCCTGAATAGCTAGATGAAGAGTATTTTAGACTATGACGTAACTAACACCACAACCAACACATCTGATTGCTCAGGGTTTGGAATCTCTCTTCGTTGCACTTGTTAGCTTGCGTTTCTGGGGGTTAAGAAGCAGCAGAGATTTTTCTGAGCTTGCAATGAAAAGAACCTACAGCCCCCTTTAAAATAAAAAGTGCCACTCCATTCTGCTGTCAGCACCTCAGACTCATCTCCTTTCTCCATGTCCACACAAAGACAGTGTAGTCATGTTTAACCTGAAATTTTCCTTTCTACAAACAGTGAAGCCCACAAACCTTAACACTGGGTCTTAGGCACACTTGTGTATGGGAGGGGCAGGCAAAAGCATTAGCCCTTTCTGCAGCCCAAACTGCACTGTTTAAAGAATAGCATCATGTGGGTTAGTTTCTAACTAATAAAAGGAAGTTCTTCTTCACACAGCGTGTTGTCAACCTGTGGAACTCCTTGCCAGAGGAGGCTGTGAAGGCTAGGACTATAATAGAGTTTAAAGAGAAGCTGGATAATTTCATGGAGGTTAGGTCCATAAAAGGCTATTAGCCAGGGGATAAAAGGGTGTCCTTGGCCTCTGTTTGTCAGAGGCTGGAGAGGGATGGCAGGAGACAAATCGCTTGATCATTGTCTTCGGTCCACCCTCTCTGGGGCACCTGGTGCTGGCTACTGTCGGTAGACAGGATACTGGGCTAGATGGACCTTTGGTCTGACCCAGTACAGCCGTTCTTATGTTATGTTCTTATGTAAGACTCAGGATTTTAGATGGCTTAACCGTTATAACAAATCCTTAGCTCTGAAACTGGTATATGTCGACTTAGCTGACAGCTAAGGAATACTCCGCTTTTTGTCTCAAACTTGCCTGTAAGAGGCTGTATCTATGGATATTGCTAGTTGTAGAAAGTTTTGAAGTATGGCTACATCTTTCTGTTTATCAGCAAGAAAAGAGCCACCGATCTTTTAGGCTACATCTACTCTGCAATGCTATTTCAGGATACCCTCTTCACAGCAAGCCCGTTATTTCGAAATATCACGGGCTCACTATTTCAGTGTCCTTGTAAACCTCGTTCCATGAGGAGTAAGGGATATTTTGGACTAGCGATTTATTTCTAAATAAGTGCTGTGTAGGCAGTGCCAAATTTCGCTACGGTGCGGTGTAGACTTACCCTCTCTGTGCTGCTGATGGGAATCTCTAAGAAAACTTTGGGAGGCGGTAGGGGGGAGCCTATTCATGTGATTACAGGTTGAAGCGCTAAAATCCGGGACACATTGGTCTGGCCACATCCGTGGGGAGGAGAAAGGGCCCACTCTGAACAAGAAAGGCCAAGAACACCCAATCTAGAGCAGGCTGAGAGGTTCGAAAAGCATCTGAGGCACGGCATTAGGAGACCACTGCATGGGACATTTCTGAGGAATAAATCTCCACCACAGAAGTGTGCTGGCCACCAGGCCTACTTGCTAGGGAGAGCCCCACTAAGGAGTGGCCATGGGGAAAAGCCTGTTTCACTGTGAAAACAGATGGATAAGTGGTTGGGAGTGAGTCCTGAAGCCTCTCGCTATCTTTCTCTAGGCTGATTCTGTGGCTGCCGGCTCAGTCTCTCTTCAGAGAGTAGCTGAAGGTCCTGGATTGGCTTTTGTGCTGAACCTGGGCTTCAGTTGTGGAAAGTTTCAGGAGGTTTCAATCCATCTGCCCTTACACTACTGTCCCCTGCATGGGAAAAGGTTGAATTGGCACTTCTCCCAGGGTGTGACTAGACTACACCTCTCTACTGACAGATGTAGATTAGGCATGTTGAAATTGTTAATGAATCTGGGATTTAAATATCCCACGCTTCATTAGCATAAACATGGCCACCGCTTTTTCCGAAACGGAGCTTTTTCAGAAAAAAACCGGCAGTCTAGACGTGGATCTGTCAAAAATAAACCCTTTTTTGACAGATCCTGTAAACTTCAGTTTTTGAGGAATACAGGCTCGGTCGAAAAAGGGTTTATTTTTCGACAGATCCGCGTCTAGACTTTTTTCCCCAAAAAGCACCATTTTGGAAAAAAGCGGCAGTCATGTTTATGCTAATGAAGCATGGGATATTTAAATCCCAGCTTCATTAGCAATTTCAACACGCCTAATCTACATCTCTCTGTCGATAGAGAGGTGTAGTCTAGACGCAGCCCCAGCTTCTCTGTCAGGGCGCACTTTGATTCCCCGAGAGAGGCAAGTCTAAACGTCATCCTTTTGGGGGGAAAGTGACATGCTGGAGAAGGTATCGAACTCTACTATGCACTCCGCAGGGTGGATGAAGAGAAGTGCTAAAGGAGAATTTTTTTCCCTAAGCCAATGTCTATGGCTGCTTGCCTGCCATGGCTCCTTTTTAAAGCTGCAGTTAACCCTAAAAATACCCAATTAATTTGACTTGAATTTGGACATGCCAATCCAGAATGCTGGATACCCTACACTTGGTAGCAAGTGGTTTGAAGTCTGCCTGCCTGTGAGTGTGGCCACAAAAACTGGAAATTTCCACTACATGCATCTGATGAAGTGGGTCTTTGCCCACGAAAGCTTATGCTCCTACACTTCAGTTAGTCTCTAAGGTGCCAGAGGACTCCTCACCGCTTTAATAAAAACTTGGGGAGGTCTTCAAGAGCAGAGGGTAGGCGAGCTTTCAACAAGGAATGTGTTTGACAGTCTCCAAAGCTGCATGCAGGCTGAAGATCCAATGTTAAGACTTCATTGAAGAACATGGTATAATATTTTACTCATGTACAATTCCCTGGAATATGTAATGGCTGCATTTCACTATGCTTCCTCCCAAATTAAAACAGTGGCATTTGCACTAACAAACTATTGTTTTCTTTCCAAGCAGCAATTCTGTCCTCCAGTGGAGGAAACCCGATTGAGAGAGTTAAACACACTTCCTCGGTCTGCTTCTTTGGAACTGCTCTCTCCAAGGAGTCAGCAAGGAAACAAACAGGAGCGGCATTTTATATTCATGCTTCATGACTTTCAGTGGACTGACTACACTTTATTTATTCACTTGCTTCTGACAAGGTCCCTAGCCCCTGTCATTTTTATTCCCCCTCCCTCTGGGCATGCTTCTCTTCCGCTGCTGATTTCATCACCAAGGACAGCAACCACTCTTTTTTTCCTCTCTCAATCTAGTTTCTGCACAGACGTTAGGTCAGGTTGCCAATTAAAACCAACAGCCTTCCAAAAGGTATCATTACACCAGCAACAAAAGCTTGTTTACTAAGAATCCAAACAAGAAAGATCCTCAGTCTTCCATGAACCTGCCAATGCTAAACCATTCCCTCCTGTAGGCTGAGGGAGTGTTCTGCCAGTCTAGAATCATTGTGCTAGGAAATGGAGTTGCCACTCCTTCCTCAGAGAGATTATTCAACTGCATTATAAACAGAACCACTGGGAACTTTCCCCGCAAGTTCAGCCAAAATTTTCCTCTTCCTTAATTTCATCCCTTTCACCTGATACACTAGCTTTGTTTTCCTAAATAATTCCTTCCTCCTCCTTCCTATTTACAACTTGCAGATATACAAGGGGTCCCTGCTATAAGTCGCCGCAGTATATGCCCATTCCACACTAAAGCCATTGACGTTTGTAGGAACTGATGCATTATAAGTCCTCCCATTCCCTACTGTAAGTTGTGCAAAACACCCCCCCCAATTTGCTTAAATGGAAGTCAGCCTCAGGAAAAAAAATCCCCGCTTTAAGTTGTTTCGCTGTAAGTCCAAGTTTTTTGGAACGTATCTTCACAGAGCCTGTGCCCATTATGGCCCACGAAACCTGAATTTTTCAGCAGTTCCAATCACTTTCTATGGGGCACTGATGTCTGATTCTGCAACAAACTGGACAGTCTACGGCAGCATGGAATGCAGACAACTATTCAAGATTGTAACAGCTTGGGGAAATCAAATATTCTGAGTAGATTCACAGGTTTGTAGTTATTTCCTAAAATAATTATTCCAGTTCCTAAAATAGCTATTCTCATACCCTATTCCTTCTAACTTCTGCCCAATCTATAATTAGCAGTGGGGTCAAGTATTGGTACAACACAGAAAAACAGAGGGACTGGCAGCAGCTTTGAAGATCAGTGTCACACCCCATCTTCTCAGTGCTATGAAGGGGCTGAGGCTCTGTTCTCCTACATGGTTGCTGGCATGCGATGGCTGCAGCACAGTAGATAGATGGTGTTGCCTATAGATATGAGGCTTACTTATATTTATACAGACGTGCAAGTAGGCACTAAAATATTTCCTAAAAGCGAGCTTTAAATAGTCATGTGAGACCTGGTAAAATACAAGTAACCATTTCTGGTCCTCTCTGGTTTAGAATACTCAAGGAGCTGATAGAGGAGATATCAGAAACTTTAGCAATCATCTCTGAAAAATCACGGAAGTCGGGAGAGATGCCAGAAGACTGGCAAAGGACAAAGAGAGTGCCCATCTATAAAAAGGGAAATAAGAACAACCCAGGAATCTACAGACGAGTCAGACAATGGAGCAAATAAATAAGGCAGTCAACTGCAAACCTCTGGAAGATAATAAGGTGATAGGGAACAGTCAGCATAGATTTGTAAAGAACAAATCATGTCAAAACCATCTGATAGGTGTCTGAGATAGGATAACAAGCCTTGTGGGTAAAGGAGAAGTGGTGGACATGGTATACCTAGACTTTAGTAAGGCATTTGATACGGTCTTGCATGACCTTCTTATAATAAATTAGGATAATAAAAACTAGATGGGGCTGCTATAGGGTGGGTGCATAACTGGCTAGATTAATAACCACTCTTTGAGAATGGTTATTAATGGTTCACAATCATGCTGGAAGGGCATAACAAATTGGGTTCTGCAGGGGTCTGTTTTGGAACTGGTTCTGTTCAATAGGTTCATCAACGATTTAGATATTGGCATAGAGAGTACGCTTATTAAGTTTACAGATGATACCAAGCTCGAAAGGGTTGAAACTGCTTTGGAGAATAGGGTCATAATTCCAAATGATCTGGACTAATTGGAGAAATAGGTTGAGATAATAGGATGAAGTTTATTGATGACAAATGCAAAGTACTCCACTTAAGAAGGAATAATCAGTGTCACACTTACTGAATGAGAAATGACTGTCTTGCAAAGAGTTCTGCTGAAAGAGATCTAAGGGTCATAGTGGACCACAAGATAATATGGATCAGCAATGTGACACTGATGCAAAAAAAGCCAACATGGTTCTGGGAGGCATGAACAGGAGTGTTGTGAGCAAGACACAAGAAGTCATTCTTCCTCTCTGCTCTGCGCTGATTAGGCCTCAATTGGAGCACTGCGTCCAATTCTGGGCTCCACATTTCAAGACAGACGTGGAGAAACTGGAGAAGGTCCAGAGAAGAGCAACAATAATTACTAAAGGTGTAGAAAACATGACTTATGGGGGAAGATTGAAAAAGACTGAGAGGGGACAATAGCAGTTTTCACTGGAATAAATTGCCTAGGGAGGTTGTAAAATCACCATCACTGGAGATATTTCAGAGCAGGTTGGACAGACATCTATCAGGAAGAATTCAAATGATGCTTGGTCCTGCAGTGAAGGCAGGGGACTGGACTTGATGACCTCTTGAGTACCCTTCCAGTTCTAGTGTTCTATGATTCTACGATAAGTCTTGCAGCACCTTAAAGGCTAACAAAACATGTAGATGAAGCAAAATACAGGACTGAAACGTGATTTGTCCTTTTCATATGTGTTCATTTTTTTTAATTGTATCCTTTGGTAGTGACTATTTTCTTCCACTATTTCATCTGAGGAAGTGGGTCTGGCCCACGAAAGCTCATCACCTAATAAACCATCTTGTTAGTCTTTAAAGTGCTACATAGTCCTGTATTTTGCTTCAGCTACACCAGACTAACACAGCTACATTTCTATTACTATAAAACATGTAGATGGTATCATAAGCTTTCTTGGGTACAATCCACTTCTATTTATTTTGAAACTGGACTTTTAATACTCTGAAGGAGAGGGGGAGGGGGGAGAAGGAAGGGAAAAAATAGAGAATTAGAGAAGGTGCAGATTGTTCTTAAGTACCCATTGTTTGGTTGGTTAAGTCATTAGGATGTGGAAGGTAGTGTGGTAGCCAGGTAATGAATGAAGTTAAGTTTCAACGCTTCCCTGTGTATATGGCTTGTGGAATTGGCCTGAAACAACATGGTGACTGAGATCCATTAATGAGTGCCCGGGGAAGGTTAAAATGTTCTCCAACAAGTTTCTGTGTGTTGCCTTGTTGGCTGATTTGTGTCCATTAATTCTCTCTCGTAGAGACTGTCCAGTTGGGCCAATATACATAGCAGAATTATGATTACAGAAATATAGATATGGTACTAGGTGGGGGCATTGTTAATTAAGGGTAATTATAAAAAGGGTAGCAGGATAATTTTAGATTAGGCATGCCCAACCACCATGAAGGTCCCGTACAGAAATGATTATACCCATGTTGCTCATGTAGGGACAGTTTAACCCCCAAATGCATCATTTCCTTTTAGAATGAGAGTATCAGTACAGCGTCTGGTTAGTTTGTAATGCCTGTTTGCTTAACCACCTATTTTATAGTAAATACAAGTTTTTAATTTCATCACTTACTATGTCATTTGCAGCTCTTCACTGAATTATCCGCAACAACCCTGGAGGCTCAAACCTTAAGGAATTCAACTTGCTTTGATTCCTTATTTTTACATTACTAATTGGGAACACACACATTTAAGCTTCCAATGAGGGATAGGATGATCCTGGGGAAAGACTTAGGGATACGGATGCAAGAGCAGGAAGGGGATTATGTATTCAAGGAGCAAGAGTCCGAAGGGTTGTGTGTTACACACTCGTGTATTTTACATTCTCTACTGGCAATAATTATTCAACTTCAGGGGAGCAACATCAGCAGAGAACTCGGCTTCTAATAAGTAGAAAAAGCAGCAAGAAAATTCAAAACGTAGTGGGATTTTCAATATGGCCCAAGATTTTAATGAGACAATCTTTATAATCAGTTATTTAAGTCTCTGACATGGGACTTGTGTGTTCATTGTCAGCCAGTATATATGTCAGAGCACAATTCCACAATGGCAGCCAAAATACCTATTTAATGAACTCTTTTCCATTTTTCAAATGAAGTGCCCATGAAAGGCATCCGACTATAACTCCTAATAAGTGAAGGCCTGGCAGAACTCTCTCTAATACAGAAAGAGGTAGTTCACTCTGTTCTCATTTAATGTTTGTCCTCTGTGCTAAGCCTGCCAATTGGGATGTGGTCCATAGTTCACAGTGAACCATACTTAGAACTAAGAACAAACTACTAATTTCATATAGTCCACTAAACATCCTTCTCATGAGAACCACCAGCATAGGACAAATATGAGCTGGCAAACTGGATGTGAAATGTCCCAGTTACAACCCCCGGCACCATCCAATCTCCGGGTTTTGATATCACACAAGTACCTCTTCATCGTCGTCATCATCTTCAACATCCAGGATCCCTGAATCCTGTTCAGACATGGGGCTCGTGTTTTTTACCTCCGGATCTGAGCTTGCACAGATATCTTTCTTATATTTCTTTCCACCACCTATCCTGGGATGCTGCGATACAATATTATCCAGGTTTCTTTGCTGCTGGGCCTAGAATGAAAGCAGATTTTTAAAGTTACTGATGACATTCAAAGATGTATTACTTTGGATCAAAAGACGAAATCGTTCAGGAATGCTACAAATATGAGACAAAAACAAAACAAAAACCCACACGCTGGATGGAACTGACAATTTATTTCCCATTTTCTAACCTACATACTCCAAATAAGCAGAAGACTCATTGCAAAACCATTCAGGGGATTATGTAATAATGCAAACGAAGGCATGACCCTTCACAAATCACCATTCCAAACCCATCATGCTGCCATATTGATCTATTTATAACACCGATGGAGAGTATTAGACCACAGGCCATATGGAGACTGTCACAGGATAAATTAAAGGACTGACTTAACTATTGGATATGTTCCTCTATTCAACCCATGTCAACAGAAAGCCCTGCACATCTGGACCCCAGAGATTCCTGAAAGCATTTTTGTGGTACCACAGGAGACTGTAATTGTTCACTGTTAATTTACATGATCTGTAAAGGTACTCAACTGAAAATTCTCTCAGTGGGATAATAACCAGGATTCAGGACTGGAAGGGAGGACCCAGTAGAGAGCCTGTCACAGAAAAACTGCTCTATGGACCCATGACCTTGAGTTTGTTTCCTGGGAAGGATGTTATGCAAAAAGGCACACATCTGTTACCTGAGACTGGGTGTGGATTTTCTTGCTATTAGTGAGCATAATATCTGCAAGAGACAAGTAAATTGCTTGGCCCCAAATGCCAAAATATGTTGGAAGGGGGGTTTAAATTTGAAGTACAAAACTAGGATTATGCATACATACTGTTCTATATCCAACAGCAAAGCCCTGTTTAAACTGCCACAAAAATGCCTTTGCTGCTATAGAAAAACTGAGGCCCGAGATATGGATTGATACTTTGTTACAAGTAGAAATGTATCAGGCGGGCCTAAATGTGAAAAACACGGTGAGATAGACGGGGCTCCCCAAAATGTCTTTCCAAAAAGCATCTTTGTTTACTGACTTTAAGTACAGATTTCCCCTCTTTCTAAAACAGATTTGCCTCATGTCTGCACTGACTCCCTGTGCCAGATTTAATTTCAGCTGCTAACTTAGTATTTAACTTCTATGCACCGGTACAAATCCCATTGGCAACACATCGTGAATGGATAAGATACATTCTTCTTTGTTCTGAGTAACTCCTTACACCAGTGGTCACCAACCAGTAGGTCAGGATCTACTGGTAGATCTTGGAGCCTCTGACAGGGGATCCTAACTGGTTTGGCTAAGAGGTTATCAAGCCCAGCACTTCAGCTGTCCCCCCACCTCCTCCAGACGGCTGCACATCTCCTGCCCTTTGCCTTGGAGCGATCCCCTCAGGAGCCTCTGCTTTCTGTGCAGAGCAGGGGAGGGAGAGAAGGGGCGCTGATGTCAAGGTGCCCCCTCTCCCATCCTGTATCCAATCTCCACAGAACAGAGAGGGGGCACAACAGGACTTAGGATGGAGGGAGCTCGCTGGCTACTTTTGGGAGTGGTGCAGGGCCAGGACAGGGGTGAGCTGCCTTAGCCCCACTGCACCGTCACCAAGGAGCCACCTGAGGTAAACAGTGCCCAGCTGGTGCCCACATCCTGAAACCCTACCCCAGTCATGAATCCAAATCCCCTGCCTAGTCTTGAGCACTTGTGCATCCAAACGCTGTGCCAGAGTCTGCACCTAGAACCCCATCTGGCACCCCAACTGCCTACCCCAGGCTTAGCTCAGAGCCCCTCTCACACTCCAAATCTCTTAATCGATGACCAAAGCCTACACCCCAACCCTCTGCCCCAGCCTGGTGAAAGGGAGGGAGGATGGAGTGAGCAGAGGCGGGGGCCATGGAGAAGTGGCACAAAGGAGTTGGGGCAATGATGTTTGGCTTTGAAATAGATCTTGGATTGCACTGAAATTCAAAGTGTGATCTCGTGCTTAAAAAGGTTGGTGACCACTGCCTTACACCAACTCAGGAGACACAGAAAGGCCTATGTAACTAAGGTTTCAGTTGCTAGTGTCAACAACGCAGATAGGCCCTCTATGTTAATGCAAGAACCATGAGAAGAGAAAGGGGACGTTTAGATTATTATTTGTTTCTGGAACGTGGCTGTAGGGGGAAGAAAACAGAAGGGTTCCAAACTCCAACTCCAGAGGCACATGCTTTAATTAATGCATTTTGTAAAAGGGTGTAAACTTTCTCTTGTACTGTTTGCAACACCAGACATTGCAGCAGCGTGATACTGTGAGAAACAGGAAAACGAACATGATTAGAAACCAAAAGATTAATTTAATCTATTTCCATTGCCCCAACTGAAGATAAAAATCAGGCTGCAAACAAACTATATAAATAGCAAAAAGGAAATTAGAGGTTTAAAAGAAAAAAATTGAAACCCTCTAAAGTATCAATATCAAAGGAAAAGAATTTACTTTTAAAAGTAGGATTTTTATTTTGACGGTATCTCTAATGTCAGCCCCTTTTTAACACCTGGCAGTACAGAAATTTGCCACAAGCAAAAATAGAGTTATTTAGCCATACTACACAGATAAGGGACTTTAAAGCCCCATGCCACACGACTTTATATTTGATGCACAAAATATACCCAGATCTGCTTTGTGTCATAGGACTGATGTACTTTTATGATGTACCACAATCTGCTCATTCTTAATAGACAAATACAACCCTTCAAATAAAAGGATTTTTTTAAAAATCACAGTTGGCACTGACCATCACTGCATAAAAAGCAGAATGATGGAGTTAAATGCTAAATGCTTGGGAGCTATTTATTGTACTGTGCAGTGGCACAATCTTGACCTCTAGTGGTTGGAAAACAGCAATAATAAAATAATAATAATAATAATAATAATTAGGATAAGCTTCAGTGAGAAAATCATTAGGCTGAGATGCTCAATCAACAGCGAAGGGACAAAAAAAACCAGTAGAGACCTGAGAACAAGGCTAAATGACAGGTCTTAGCAAGACTGTCCTGTCCCAGCAAAAGGCTGTTCATTCGCATCACACCAGGTACATCTTCCTGGGGATTGAGACATAATGAACCACTGGGAAAAGGAGTGACAAATTCTGCATCTAACTCCAGAAGCGCTAATCCACAGAAACCTCTCAATATCCAATAGCGAGGATGAGGACTCAAAACGGGAATATGCTTTTGTTCTTTCCAGCATCCAAGCAAGAAAGATCTGGGACTTGCTTCAGAGAGGCCAAAGTCAGTCAGCTGAATTGAATGAGCTTATAAAGTGAGCCTGATGTAAGTTATACCAAACTCAAGCCTATTGTTTCCATGAAAATATCCCAGGTTAATGGAATCATTTCCCCCCTTGCTCTTAAAAAAAAAAAAAAAAGGAGTAGAAGCAAAAATTTCTCCCAAAACAAGGTTTCCATGGAACATCTGTCTTTAAAAAAAAATCCTAAAATGGGTGGTTCAAAGAAAAACTATCGGAAATCAGTTAGTGACAACAGTCACAGACGTGGAAAAAATAACTAAATGGAGCCTGCACTTTGCCCTCTATGCTTTACAAGCATTAAGTCAGTTTTAGCATTCAATCGGTTCTGAAATTCAGAAGTACAGGCAGTCCCCGGGTTACATGGATCCGACTTACATCGGATCCCTACTTACAAACGGGGTGAGGCAACCCCGCACTAGCTGCTTCCCCCCAGCAGACCAGGGAGATGCGACGCTAGCGTCCCGCCCCCCAGCAGACCAGGGAGACGCGGAGTGGCTTTTCTCAGCAGACACCTCAGCTTGAGAATAAAGGACTGAGGGAAGTGAGGTGTGGGAGAATAAAACTGAGCTCTGGAGAAATGTTTGGCTAGAGTTTCCCCTACAATATGTACCAGTTCCGACTTACATACAAATTCAACTTAAGAACAAACCTACAATCCCTATCTTGTACGTAACCCAGGGACTGCCTGTAGTGGCAAGAGAGGCCATATTACTCAAAATCTTTCAGAATAGAGATCACGGTCCTACTCCCGCCCACTTATAGGTGAATTTTATTTTTATTTGGATAGTGTGTCACTGATTATTTTTGCTAATAAGCACAAGAGATATTCAGTAATCAGTGAAAACTAGACTGGTCTGAACCAAAATCCTACAGCCAAATGTCTCACCAACAGAAAAAGCCACCCCCCCTCCAAACGTGATGATTCTCAAGTCTGGGAGCTCTAAATCCAGATCCAATCCAACGCTTTCCTGAAGATCAGTTTGCTTGAATTTATCCCACTAGAGAAAAAGGAATTCCAGCAGTTAATACAGATCCAAATCCAGCTCGGATTGTTAATATGGTTTTAGTTCAGGGACTAACTCTTACTTCCTTCACTTACAGCAGGAAAACAAAAGCCACCATGTACTTTACACCTAATAAAGCAACACAGCCCTAGCTCACC